TGGTAGAGCGCTTGCCTTGCATGCATGAGGCCCTGGGTTCAATTCCTTAGCACCACATAAGAAAAAAGAAAAAAGCCTGAAGTGGTGCTGTGGCTGAAGTGGTAGAGTGCTAGCCTTGAGCTGAAGAGCTGAGGGACAGCGCCCAGGCCCAGAGTTCAGGCCCCATGACCGGACCCAAAACAAAACAAAAAAACAAAACAAATCAAAACCAAGAAATATTTACTTAGATCTTCTTAAGAATATGAGAACTTCTTTTGCGAAACCTTTAGCATAAATCAATGCAACCTGTATGGAGAGCTATATAGCTTAGCTCTCCAGATATTCTCAGACTGACATCTATGCTTACATCATGTGGCAGCCACCATAACAGAAAGGAGAATACCGTACAAATTCTGCTGCTAACTCCAACCTTCCCTCTCCTGAAGCTTATGTCTATTGTTTCTTACTACAGAACTTCCTTTTTAATGGCTTTGTCCCATTAGACCAAAAAAAACTAAAACAAAATAAAGAAGGAAGGAAAGAAGAAAAGAGAAAAGAAGATAGAAATGCTTCAGATAATTACCTTTAAAAGTAACTGATATTTAGTGATACGCTGCACTGGTTTGAGTAAATAGGAATCCAGACCAAGTCGGTGTTTTAATTTTCTTTGACATTCCTGTCATGAAAGAATAATTATCAATTGATTTAAATTTTTGAATTTAAACATGTTACCTGTAAAAATGCCATGTATTCATTGATTAGACCCAATGCATGAATATTTCTTACATCTAAATGAACATATATTGGAAAAAATAGCTGTATCAAGGGGTTTCAATTCAACATATTGATTTATGAGTACAATATATGGTGGTCTATGTCACTTTTTCCATTGTTCTTTCCTATATCTCCCAACTCCTCCCCTCCATCCTCTCGTTACCTAGTTCCATGTTCTACTTGTGACTACTTGTGTAGTCAGGAACAATGGAGGTCAAGGGGAAAGTATACATACACATGAAAAAAAGGGTGAGCAAATCCAGCATCATGTTCAATGTATACATGTGAAAACAGAAATCATTCTTACAGAAACTATAAGATACAATATATCTGGAAAAAAAATAATAGCCAACAGAATCTCAAAGTATTTCAAGAGGTAGTAAAGTAGGTTAGTGTCTAAGAAAGTATTTCAAGAGGTAGAAAATTCTAAATTCAAAGATTGAAAAGTTTTCACAAATCAATCTATGTGGATGTAAAATGCGGAAAAGTGACAAAGCAAAACCTGACAAGAGATGAGCTGGATCAAGGTCTTCAGTCTATCCAAAAACATTAACAGAAGATTCTACAGGCAAGGCTGAGAGACAAAATAGATTGTGCTAAATATAAACCACACCGGATATGACAACAGATTTTTTTTTAGGTGACAAGAAAAATAGAGCTCTTGTAGAATGGTGCTTATTTTATTCAGTACTTGGCTCATTGCCACTATAAACACAAAGGCCAAGACATTAAGTCCCGGGAACATCACAGGGTTCATAATTAGGACATGGAGGGAATGGCACGATGAAATGTACATCTAAATGAACATTATGAGAAATGTATGAACACATGAGAAGTGTCTAAAGAAAATTAAATATACAACCTAATTTAAATAAAATGGTAGTCTGATGCATGCATTTATATCTTGTCATTTAGGAAACCCAAGTAAAATGATGGAAATGCTTTTCTTCATGAAGCAAAATCCAAAGAGGAGAAAATACTGATGAAATTTGGAAACTGAAAACCGTATCCAAGAGTGAAAAACAAGGGTTGGAGACATGGTTCTGTTGGGAGAGTACTAGCCAATGAGCAAAAGTATCAGGTACCAACTTCAAGTCTTGATCTCAGACCAAAAAAAAAAAGGAGTGGTAAACCAGTAAACACAGCGGAGAAAATGAGTTTCATATTGACAAAGGGAAAAGCGAAAGGAACGGACAGTTCTTAATTATTGCCGCAGAACATCCCCTTACTTATGTCACTGTAACTCCTCCATACGTCACTTTGACAATAAAAAAAACCTTTCCCTCTTGAAACACTCAGGAATTCGAGATATCCAGTACCTCTGAAAGTCAGAGATAAATGCCACATGAATACATTTATTGTTGCAGATGTAAAACAGTACTGCCAGTTTGGAAAACAGTTCAACAGTTCCTTTAACATAAGCATATGAACCAGGAGCCAGTGGCTCACACTTGTAACCCTAGCTACTCAGGAGGCTGAGATCTGAGGATCACGGTTCAAAGCCAGCCAGGGCAAGAATGTCCGTGAGAGTCTTATCTCCAATAAACCACTAGAAAACAGGAAGTGGCGCTGTGGCTCAAGCAGTAGAGCGCTTGCCTTGAGCTGAAGAGCACAGGGACAGCACCCAAGCCCAGAGTTCAAGCCCCACGACCGACCATAAAAAACAAAAGAACAGCCGGTCGCTGGTGGCTCACGCCTGTAATCCTAGCTACTCCGGAGGCTGAGGTCTGAGGATCGCGGTTCAAAGCCAGCCCGGGCAGGAGAGACCGGAAGTGGCGCTGTGGGTCAAGTGGTAGAGTGCTCGCTTTGAGCTGAAGAGCTGAGGGACAGCACCCAGGCCCAGAGTTCAAGCCCCATGACCGACCAAAAAAAAAATAAAAAATAAAACAAAACAACATAAGCATATGACCAGCAATTTTACTCCTAAGTATGTAGCCAAGAGATGAAAACACATGTCCACAGAAAAGCTTGCACAAAATCTTTCATAGCAGTATAATGTACCCAAATGTTCATGAAGTCATGATTGCCACAAAAAAAATAGTGAGACATGCCACATGAGTAAAGGTCAAAACCACAAGTTAAATTTCAGAAGTCAACTCAGCGCTGGTGGCTCACACCTGTAATCCTAGCAACTCAAGAGGCTAAGATCTGAGGATTATAGATTCAAGTCAGCCGAGGCAGGAAAGTCAGTAGGAATCTTATCTCCAATAAAATACGCAGAAGAGGTCAGAAGTGGCTCTGTGGTTCAAGTGGTAGAGCACTAGCTTTGTCCACAATGAGGCTCAGGGACAGCACCCAGACCTTGAGTTCAAGCCTCAGGACTGGCACAAAAATAAGTAGATAAATAAATTTCAGAAATCAACCCCAAAAGAAAACATATTGTCTGTTTCCGCTTGTAAGAAATGTCCACACTAGGCCATTCTATATAGACAAAGAAAGCAGGTTAGTGGTATCTAGTGCAGCAGGGATAGGAGAGGTGGAGTGACTGCTAAAAAGTATAGGAGGCAAAAATCTCCCAAAATTGAATTGTTTAATAAATACAGAAATGATTACACGTCTATGTGGCCATGGGATAAGGGGCAATGAAAAAGCTAAATTTTCACATTCCATGGAAGGAAGGAAAAAGATAAACATGCTATTTGGAGATACGGAGGCAAATATTTTTAAAAGAAACTGAATAGTCGTGTCCTCTGGGGAACTGCAAATACATGTTTATACGTGTGTGTGTGTGTGTGTGTGTGAAAGAAAGAGAGTTTTGGAGAGGACACAGTTGCTCTTTCACTAATACATAACCGACTCAAAGCAGAAAGTGAAGTTATGAATAAGAATTATTCTAATATCTTCTCAAAAGTATATTTAATACTTGAATAATTACTATACCTGGAAAAAGGCACATTCTGAGTACTTCTTCCAAATTATCTCTGATCTGGGCTTATTCTGACAATATTTTGCATACATCTGAAAATCATCCTTCTGGGATAGAGAACAAATTTGCACACATTACTGATTTGTGGATACAAACATTTGTTATAAAACAAGCCTGAGCAGGACAGTGTCAGGCCAATTATTACAGAAAATATGATATGCAGTATTTATACTCTAACAACAGCACACCCATTTGACTTGGTGGCAGGACGCAGAATTACACAAGCAAATCAAAGAATCTCTACTGAGCAAGCTTATGAAGTAAAAGGAGGAGAGCTGTTTGAGCTACCCACACAAAAATTCGTACCTATGCGCTAGTTGGAACTGAAAAATATGCTTTTTTATGCAAGTAGACTCTCAGATCTCTAATGAAGGAATTTATAACTGACTTCCAAGTCACAACCTGTGGCCCATGATTCATACTGGGGACATCATCACTGTTTCATACACATGTAGGCATCTACTTATGTAACTTGCCTTCTCAAATAATTGTCCCCTAACCCTCAACTACTGGGCTATCTTCTCATTTTCTACCATGCATCCCATGAGTCACTGCTTCAATAATAAGGCTACAGTCAACTTCATCATATCATCTTTTGGGTTCCCAGGAAACACCCTTTATAATATAGTGCAACTCATCACCTACACAATTAATGTTACTTGAGTTTTTTTGGTTTTACCTGAATGACCTTTGGCTTGGTATCCACATTGCTAGGATAGTGCTTAGTACGTAGTAGGGGTTCAGCAGATGTCTACAGCCACTACTAGTTGCCAAGAACTCTGCTAACCATATGAGAGCTATAACGACATATAAGATATAGACTCTGCCACACAGTGTCTCAAGTTGAGGAGACAAAAGATGTAGGCATATAAAGAAGCACAGTCTATGTTGAAGATCTAATGAATAACATGGTCTTTATACATTAGTTGCTTAAGCAAAGGTAGACAACTGTTCCGTGAAGAAGTTAGGGAAGAATTGGTGTGTAGTGCAAATGTATTTAGAACCTGTTTAGAAAAAAATGACAGTTCTTTCTTAGCTTTATCCTCTTCTTAATTGGTAAACACTTTATGGATTACCTATATTTGAATTTTTCAACAATCACCTCTATCCAATTGGCTCCAATATCAAGACAGGGCTGCTCTTTAAGGAAGATGAGGAACTAGATAGCAGAAAATAGAATGTGTGTGTGTGTGTATTGAGTTCAGGCACTACGGTACACACCTGTTATCCTAGCATTCGGGAGATGAGGGCAGAAAAATCTTGAGTTCAAGGCCAATCTGAAGTACATAGCAAGAAACTGTCTCCAAAAACTAATCTTCTGAGAGGAGGACAATCACTAAGCTGGGAAATTAATTATGCTAAGCATATTCTTGCATGAGTGATCTTGTTGACTAAAGGAAAGCTCTGTTCATGAAGCTCTGGGAAATAGACACTCATGCTCTGGCTGCAATTCTAAGATTTTACATATATTTTAGTACCTGTTGTAGTTGATGTTCCTTCTCTAAAACTAAAACATTAAGAAAAAAACTTAGCTTATTCTTATGAAGAAGTTACTAGTTTGGTGACCTATATTTACCTAATTCAAAAATAATAATTAAGTAAGAACTGGTGGCTCATACCTGTAATTCTAGCTACCCAGAAGGCTGAGATCTGAGGATTGTAGTTCAAAGCCGGCCCGGGCAGGAAAGTCTATGAGACTTTTATCTCCAATAAACCACCAGAAAACTGAAAGTGGAGCTGTGACTCAGGTGATAGAGTGCTAACTCAGTGCCCAGGCACTGAGTTCAAGTCCCAGGACCAGCAATAATAATAATAATAATAACAATAACAATAGCAATAAAGTAATAATAATTAAACTAACCCTTTCCAGGAAACAAGATCCCACTCTTTCTGGAGCATGAGAGCAATTTTCCAGGCTGCTCATGAATATGCTGTGAAATTTTCAAGAAAAAAAAATTATGTGACATATAGTCAATCAGGACTTTAAAATATCACGAAAATTTTAATTCAACAATTACATACTTGTTATGGAATTCATATATTTCTGCCATATTTCCAAAGAGGATGTCCTTTTTGTTTCTCAGAAGAGGTGGCATAAGAGCAAACATGTCTGGATTATCCATTTCCGCTCTATAGCCCTACTCAAAACAAATACATACTTATGCATTTAAAAATATTTGCATTTAACATTCTGTTATGCCAACAAAAGTACAGGTACAATCCCTGAATAAAGGATTCAATGGTGAAGCTCTTTGAATTTTTAAATATTCATATCTTCTAGTGCTTAGTGTGAAATCCATGAAATGTTTTTAAAAGGCAGAATGATAAAATAGGAGGTTTTCCACTTGAAAGAAACAATAAAATGGCAGGTTTTGGGGCTGGGCACCAATAGCTCATGCCAGCTACTCAGGAGGCTGAGATCTGGGGACCATGGTTCAAAGGCAGTCCAGGCAGGAAAGTGTGTGACTCTTATCTCCAATTAACCAGAAAAAAAAAGCTGAAAATAGAGCAGTGATTCAAGTGGTAGAGCATTAGCTTTGAATGAAAAAAGAGAAGAAACGGAGCCTAGGCCCTCAATTCAAGCTCCAGTACCACGTTGTCAGTGCATGCCATAGTACCAGCACAAAACCCTTGACTATCAACGTGTTTTTGTTTTTGTTTTTACCAGGTTGGAAACAAAACTAAGTCTAAAAATTACCTATAGGTCATCAACTTCTTACATTCCGTTTTTCATTAAATTATAATTGATTGGGATTTTTCAGACTAAATATTATGCCATTTGTAACAAGTGAGCATTTTTATCCCACTTTGTTCTTCACATTATAATCTCTAAATAGCAACATGGAAATAATTTTAATAATCTAGTGTATTCCTAGAACAAGCTTCTCAAATTCTAAATCAACCATTCCCACTACACAGCAAGAATATTTATTTATTTACTTATTTATGCACTTAAAACACAGTCTCTCAAACAACTGAAACAATACCCATCACTGTCCTTCGATTGAAATAGAAAACTGCCTGAAACATTTCTAATGAATGTAGTGAGGGACCATTCAGGAGAATGGAAAAAAATATACAATTTGCATCACTCACCAATAAAACAGTAAATAGTTCTTGAACATACACCTTCTCAGTCTGTATCAGCTCATTTAGAACATGGCTAAAATGAAAAGAATACATATTAATTCCTATCGTAGTTCAGAATCTCACAATGTTTCAATTATTTTCATTGTAAGTTATTTAGGGTAAAAATAGTTAATGCATAGCAACTACCAGTGTTTTTATTTTTGGCACCAAGATATGAAACTAATTTTGTGGTTGTTAGATAAGTACCACCTACAAATACTAAAGTATATTTAAAAGAAAAGGAGTTACTCAGTCTTTATTAACTTTAAACTTATTTCTAATAGAGTGCTGGCGGTTCACACCTGAACTCTGAGAATCACAGCTTGAAGTTAGCCTGCATAGATAAAACCAAGAGACTCCTAAGTTCCAAGGAACCACCAAAAGGCCAAAAATGGATAAGAGCCAGCCTCAAAGAAGTCAAGTGAAAGCATAAGGCCCTGACTTCAAGCTTCTATCACAGCACCCAAAATATTTCTAGGTCTCTCAGATTAAAAATTAATTTGCTAAAAACGTACACAATATATGTCTAAATATCTGAAGCTTTATTTATCAATTGATGGGTTAACATAGCAAAAATATTTTCTAACTCACTGATTCAAAACTAATTTTTCTTATTTATTATTAATACAGTCTATTTCTATTTTATTAAATTATATTAAAATTATATTCTATTATATTAAAATATATTTCTAAATGGCCAAGGTGTTTTTTATTCATTTATTTGTTTATATTTGTTTCTGAGTTTAGTAGCCTCTCTTCCCATGTTGACACACCAATTTTCCTTGCTCATAGTAATTTTCTGAATTTTTCTAAGACATTATATTTATTATACTAGTTTCATGTGTAGATTGTAAATTATATTTCTACAGTAAGTTAGTCTAGTAACTTTGAAAAAATAAATATATTATCCTTTCAATGTGATTTCCAATTGACATGATGACTTAAAATTTACTTCCCTTCTTTAATGTAAGTAATCTAATTGATTCAACTTCTATCTTCCACACTTCTTTCTCTTTTTGTTTTCTTTTTTATTTAAGTCATTTAACAATTAAAAGTCTTTGAGCACATATATATCTCCAAGTGACATGCTTCAAACTAATGGAAACTTAAAAGATGATGTGGAATTTAAATGTGATTATTCTGAAGGCTAGAATATTATCAAATTGGGAAAGTTACCACAGCAATCATTTCTGTTAACATCTACAAAATTGCATCCCTATAATATAGATTTTGATGAACTGTTTAATTCTTTTTCACTTCTTTTATAAAAGAAAAGATGCTGTAGCCAAAGGGTATAACATCTCTTTCCAAGCATTCATAAATTGAATCAGTTTTGGGAATCCAATGTAAAGCATGGTGGTTATAGGTAATAATACTGTATTGTATACTGGAAATTTGCTCACAAAATAGATCTTAATTCTTACCAAAAAGAAAAAAGAACTACATTATGTGAAAGATGTTTAAATTAACTTGATTATGGTAACCACAACATATTCTTGTGCTATCAATGTGTATTTTAAATTATCTGTCATAGTAATTGTGTTTCAATTATATTAATGTGAGTATTTATGTGTCTTATATTATCAGTATATTACATTCTCAATTATATTTCAATAAAGATTAAAAATAGCTTTAAAAGTCCTTTCACTTTCCTTTCTAATCTCCACAAAAAAGAGAGATGTAAATTCTGAAAAGGTCTTCTTAATTTTCCTTAAATCACATAAATAGACTACATCTTAAGTTAGCCTCAAAATAGAACTTTTGATACCTAAATTAGTGTTTTAGAACCCTAATCTGTGAGCTTAAAATCAAAGTATATTTGTCTTGAAGACAGAACTTCCAACATGGAGATATGTGTCTAAGTTTGTGTTAATAAACAAAAGATACTTCTTTAAAATATCCAAGCCATTATCACTGTCCAAACTGGAAGATGGACCACAGTTGCTCTTCTGACAATCATAATCCTCATCATCCTGAAATAATAAAAGTGAAGTTAAAATAGTATCCATATAGTAGTAATTATTCTTCAAGAACCTCAAGTCAAATTAAGTTCACTCTACATTCTAACTCTGTAGACAAATGGAAAAATAACTGTGTAGATATAGGTTTTTAAAAAGACTTTGATATATATAGTAGTAAAGTAAGTACACTTAGTTACCACTCTGGACATGATCAAAAAAACACTAATTGAAGTTCATTTTATATATTTCTTTTCTTTTGTTTGAAATGTGTCAGAAATGAAGTTTATTCATAACAAGCTGACTTTCACCTGGTGCCGGTGGCTCATGCCTGTAATCCTAGCTACTCAGGAGGCTGAGATCAGAGGATCACAGTTCAAAGCCAGCCTGGACAGGAATGTTCATGAGACTCTTATCTCCAATAAAGTACTCAGAAAAGGTTGGAAGTGGCACTGTGACTCAAGTGGTAGGGTGCTACCCTTGAGCAAAAAAAGCTCAGGGACAGTGCTCAAGGCCTGAGTTCAAGCCCCAGGGCCTGTAAGGGCGGGGGGGGGGGCAGGGGGAGAGGCAGGAGAAGATTCTTTTTTGCAGAAATCATTCTAAAAAATAATTACATGCAACCTTGAATTATTTAAGCAAGGAGAAACAACATAATTTATCCTTTTCATAATGACTTGGCGCTATCACCATACACTTGAATATGATCAAATCTAATGCCTCTTTCCAAGACTAGTAAGATGTGACAAATGTTCTATTCTTTCTTAAAATGGCTGTGACAACCCATTCATCATAATGTTAGGAATCATGAGCTGAAACTAGTACTGAAAGACATGTTAAAACTATGGAATCTGACACTCATCTCTTTCCTTCTTTAAATTAGATAAACAACATGATAGCCAGGCCTTTGAAAGCAATATAGGCAATTCACTAGCCTGCTAATTTTATATATATATATATGTATATGTGTGTGTGTATATATATATATATATATATATATATATATCATAGGCCACACATTGGTTCAAAATGCTTCACAATATTCAATTACTTTTCCCTCTGTATAAACAAGGAAACTAAGATCCAGAGGACTTTTCCAATGTTATACAGTAAGTGATGGAACTTGCCTTAAAAGCCAGTCTAGTTAAAATGGTATACTGTATTATATCTTAGAGATTTTTTTCTTCTCCTACTCTACCATTAAGAACAACTAAAGAGCATATACAATCTGGCAGCTCTGATGATATTCTCTGCTGGAACCAGCCTATCATGGGTAAGTGAGAAGAAAGGTGTCTTAGACAGCCATCCTGTCTACTTATCCTCTAGGATACTTCTAGTACCTCCAATGGCTGCCTGAAACCACAGGTAGTTAGTACTGAACCTTCTATGAACTAAAATGTTTTCCTATATACATGTAGCTGTGATAGCATTTCATATACATATGGATATATATCTATCAAAGAGTATAAGAGATTAACAATAAGTCATAATACAAAACATTTACAACTATATACTGTAATTGTTAGGACAATGTGTGCTCTTTGTCCCTTCCTTCCTTCTTTTTTGTCTTCCTCCCTTCGGCCCTCCTCCTCCACTTCCTCCTCCTTCCTCTCTTTCTCTCTCATTTTCTATTAATATTTTTGGACAACAGTTGACTGCAGGTAGCAGAAAATGAAAAGGAAACTACATAACATTAGACGAATGGACCCCTTTCCTGAGCCCAGAGTACTGAAGACTTTGCATGGTCTCTTAGAACCTGACTTCTGCCTCTGCTTCACAGTTGTAGGATAGGAATCACTCATGAAAGAAAGTTCCTTTCATGAAATGGGGTGGTATTATTTGGGTTTATGCAAGTTAGGGGAGGGATGACAAGAGAAGCTAGAACTTCTATGCGGTTTTCTACAGAAATGGTTCTGAGCTCAAGCAGGACTTGATCAATGATGCAAGCATGCAGGCCTCACTCTACCAGAACTGAAATTAGACACCAATTCAGCCCCAGTTCTATTTGGCTTTTTCTTTAACATGAATTCAGCTTTCAAATGCACAGTATCAGTCTAATGAAAAAATTACAATTAAGCCCCCATGCTAATTCTGCAATGACTACAAGAAGGTCAATTTTGCTGGGTGCCAGTGGCTCACGCCTGTAATCCTAGCTACTCAGGAGGCTGAGATCTGAGGATCTTGGTTCAAAGCCAACCCAAGCAGGAAAGTCTGTGAAACTCTTATCTCCAATTAACCACCAGAAAACTAGATGTGACCCTGTGGCTCAAGTGGCAGAGTGCTTGCCTTGAGCTGAAGAGCTCAGGGATAGTGCCCACACCCAGAGTTCAACCCCCATGACTGACCCCCAAAAAAGGTCAATTTCGAATTATGTAATGATATTTACTTTTGCACTGCTGTGATTCGGTCTCCAAGTCTTCTTCCCTGGTAGAGGAATATGAAAGGAAAATTTTAAACCAGAATTAAACTCCACAATTTTTTAATGAAAGCACATGCATATTGATGAGATAATTAGAGTTAATATTCTAGCCTGTTTATAATAGTTATTTTTAAATCACACTACTGAAGACAGTGATTGGTTAGAATCATCTATATCGTTTCTATTTCTTTGCTTCTGGTTCACCTAGCCTCTCATTCTCAGGCATCAAACACTTACTTCTCGGCACACTGGGAACCTGGTTTTAGTACTCACAAGTGTTTGCAGGTTTAGTGCCCATTCTCACACATAAGCATTTAGGTGAATTGTACCTCACTGATTAACTAGATCAAAGGTTTTTTTTTTAGTCCAATTTAACCTAATAATTAGAGCCTCCAATATTTACTTGACACTATATATATATATATATATATATACTATATAATTAAGCCCTATGAATATGTTTTGTTTAACCCTCAGTATCTACTGGAAAATGTACATAATTGTTATTCCCATTTTATAAAGAAAGAACCAAGGTTAAGCTCAAGAAGCACAGGAAGTATTGAAATCCATATGGTTTACCATCAAAATACATGTCACTAGCCACTATATAACCCAAAACATGCGTTAGACTACCCCAAAAATCCTTCATCAAAATTAAAGATTTAAGCCAGGCACCAGAGCTCATGTCTGTAATCCTACCTACTTAGGAGGCTGAGATCTGAGGATCATGGTTCAAAGCCAGCCCAGGCAGGAAAGTATGTGAGTCTCTTATCCCTTATAAGAGACTGGAAAACAGGAAGTGACACTGTGGTTCAAAGTGGTAGAGCACTAGCCAGGAGCAAAAAAAAAGCTCGGGGACAGTGCTCAGGCCTTGAGTTCAAGGCCTGACTGACAAAAATAAAATTTAAAGGTTTAATTTTTATATTTAAACATGTTCAATTCTCACATAGTGAGCCTCTGTATTATTACAAAAGAAGCCCAATGTTCCTAAAAAGCAAAGGGCATGAGCCAATCAAGGAATGTATTGACTTCCTAATCACCAAGGCAGCTGGCAATTGATCACTCAGGCTACATGAATCCTCCCTCTGCCCAGACAAACGTGCTGGTGTCAGGAACACCAAGGGAAAGGATGGGGCAGTACATTGTCTAGGCTGTCTATTGCATTTTTCATTATTAAAACATGTATGTATGTATACATGTATGTATGTATGTGTGTATGTATGTATGAATTCTTAATTTTTATAGCCATGTATAAATATTTGACATAGTGGGAAATACCATTCAAAAGCGTTTTCTCAATAAATACTAATGTGTTCCACATTAGAGCCCTAAAATACAGAGCTCTACTTATTTGTGAAGGTAGATTAAGAAATAATTCCTACTTCTATTAACTAATTCTTTGTGTATACATTATGAGACACAAAACAAATACATATATAACATAGGAGGAACATACCTTTTTTCTGAAAAGCAATGCAGTTTTATATTCAGTCAATAATATAGACACATAGAAAATGATTGCCCACTTTGTCAATCTCTGTATTTAGGTTTATACAAAGATGACCTGCACATAGTTCCTGACCTTGTAGAATTTCCAAGTCTAGCAGGCAAACAGATGTTACTAAAGCTGAGAAGAAGCAGGGAGGCTTGTTGTCACACAGTGTGAACATGCATGTGAATAGGGCTGCAGCAGATGAGATGGGAGGAACAGATTTATCTGAAAGACGTGACCAATAGATAGCAAACATCATGGTGAAGGAGCAGCTAGTAATGGGGCAAGGTCAGTGAGGAAAGAGGATTCCAGAGACACCAGTAAGATAAAGTAAAATGGTTAGGAAAAGTGAGCAAAGACAATGAGGCAATAGGGAAACTGCTACAGTTTGGGGGGCCACTGATGGCATTAACATGTTCTTGAAAATTGGTATTAAGAAGCAATAGTGAGTCGGGAGCTGGTGACTCACATCTGTAATCCTAGTTACTCAAGAGGTTGAGGTCTGAGGATCACTTTCGAAGCCAGCCCAGGCAGAAATGTCCCCATGAGACTCTCATCTCTAATGAACCACTGAAAAACCAATGCACCACTCAAAAATCGGAAGTGGGGCTGTGGCTCAAAGTGGTAGAATGCTATCCTTGTGTCAAAGAGCTCAGGGACAGAACCAAGGCCCTGAGTTCAAGTCCCATGACCACCACCACCAACAACAAATGTAGTAATGGGGTCTGGTGCTGGTGGTTCATGATTGTAATTCTAACTAAGGAAGATGAGAACTGAGAATCATGGTTCAGAGCCAACCCAGGCAGAAAACTATTAATCCCTATAACCAGGAAAAGGCAGAAGTGGAGCTATGGTTCAAGTGGTTGAGTGTCTGTCCTAAGCAAAAAACTAAGCAAGAGTAACTAACAGGCCCTGAGTACTGGTACAAAAAAAAAAAAACTATTGGGAATGGAAAGATAATGTATAAACTGAGCATGCTGACTCATACCTATAATACCAGTTACTCAGGAGAATAATATAGAACAAACAAAACGTTACTGAGATCTCATCTTAATGAATAAGCTAAGTGCGGTGGCAGGAATCTGTAAGTGAAACTAAACGGTATGCTGCCAGACCAGGCAAAAAACAAGACCCTATCTAAAAAGTAGCTAAAGCAAAAAGAGCAGGGTTATGGCTCAAAAATGACAGCATTCCTGCTATTAGGCATAATCCCTGAGTTCAGATTCTAGGGCCTCAAAAAAATTGAACAAGAGAAGTATATGCATATGAGATACACATAGGAGACTGGAGATAATTAAAAGTGGGGTAGGAGTCAACAAGAGGAAATGAGGTCCCAAGCTTGGGCAATTTGGGCAATTAATGCCAGTAGAAATGAGGAAGATAATAGGCAGGATCACCTATTGCACATGTGGGTCTGAAGACAAGAGAAAGGTCTAGACTGCAGATACACATTGGAAGTTCACGCTACATTTTACATTTTATTCCTCACTGGCTATATCCCTTCATAATCCTCCTCTAAACTCAAAGTTAATCCAACAAATATATGATACTTCCTGCTGTTTAGCAGGAGCTGTGTTAAGTGAAGGATTCCATTCAATACAAAGAAAAAGAAAACAAACAGAACAAAAAAAACAGTTTGACTCATTTTTATGGTAAGTCAACACATGCTTTCATTCTTTTGCTTGTGCTCTATATATTTGGCATAGCAATTAGTCTTAAAAATACTCAAGAGCAAATCATGCTATAAACTTCACGAATTCACTCAGAGTAATGGGGGACAATGAACAAGGCTTGTAAAATAAATAATAGTTTGATTTCTTTTACAAACCATGATGGATAGCGGATAAAACCATTTCTCCATCCATGTCATTTATTCATTAAGGTGCCTTCTTTCTCATAAATACATTAGACACTTTTCAATCGAAGCAAACCCAAGCTTCTCCCAACAAATGGTATAGTAGGATTACAGATGGCCTGAGAGTCTTTAAAATGAATGAAAGCTTGATTGGTTGGAACATCACCACTTGTTTTATTTTGTTTTCTAGTGATTATTTTATAGAAGATATTGAGCTTGGATGTATAGTCTACTTTTTAGTCATTTTCAACACTGAAAAAGAACAGATCATTTCTATGAAAGGAAAAAAAATGCCAAACTGTTTTTTCACATGTTCACAAACTCAGATGTATTGATGAAAAGAAATATAATAAAGATGAGTACCTTTTAAAAAAAGTTTACATGCTTGAAAGAAAGAGTATCCAATTCCCACTGCAGAAAGAAAGTGTAAAGCCATTAAATAATGTCAAAAAGAAAAAAATGACACGTAAATAACAGCATAAAACAAAATTGGGTGACCAATGACTTCAGCAGGACTTGGACACTGGGCCAGCATCCCAGAGTGAAGAGCTAATCTTTTAAAGGACTTTGAAGAAAGAAGATGTAACACAAGGATAGTTTATTGAGTACTTCTTACAATCTGAAGTTTTTGTCACTTGATATTCATAACAAATCGCTAAAGTTGGTAGCTATTACTATGAGTATTTTATAGACAGGAGACTAACATTAGAAGATGTTAAGTGAGCATAGCGAAAGGAGTCCGAAATCTAACTTAAAACTGTCTTCTGCTTAAGACTATTAACCTATGCTATGCTTAGTCTCATAGTTGGTGGATTTTATTCTCTTAATTTTTGTTGTTGCCATCCTCTTACTAATATTGTTGATATTCCCAGTATATTTTCAATACACTGTCAATACATTTCTTCCATGGAGTCAACATTATTCATCTTAGGGAGTTTATATTTGGGGTGTATTTAAGTATTCCATGACTACTACAACTTTCATCATCTTAACCTGCTTACCTACTTTCATCTCTTTTTAATCAAATCTATGACATAGATGAGTTGAATTTTTATGCCCAGTATCCCTGGCCCAAGTCTTCTTTGATTTCAAAGCTGATTCTCATACTAGTAAAGTCTCTGATTCTATGTATGGTCAAAAAAAAATAAAACTTGGAGGAGTTGGGGAGATGGGGAGAGAAGGGATGGTAGGGGAAAAACAAAGGAGGAGGCAACAATGCTTGATAGGAAATGTACTCAAAACCTTGCTCATGTAATTGTAACACCTCTTTACAGTATTTTTACAATAAAAATATACATGGAAAAAATAATAAAACTTAATCACATCTTCATCCCTTCCACTCACTTAGGACCCCAAAGATCAAATTGCTCTCCCTTAACAGGCCCAAAGGTATCTCAAGAAAACCCTTACGATAATAGATCCACCTTATTTTCAGAGTTGTTCCCATAATACCAATAAATTACCAACAAAGTTATTATTTTCTGCAACACTTATTCAGAAAAAGCAATCCATGCCACTTACTTACCAGAAGCATAAAAAATAAGTAACAGTTTACTGGAGTAGGAATAAATTGTATGTGCAGATATGTGCATATGTGTTTAGCAGTTTCACATACTCTCCTGTCTACTGAAGAAAAATGGGAATTTGATGCTGATAAAGTTTTCACACTCATTTCTCAGGCTAGAATACTCAGGCTTGAGATGGCCTTCACTTTGCATTGTAACATCAATCTGTGATTTTGTTTTTTTGGTGTTTGTTGTTTGTGCTGGTCCTGAGGCTTGAACTCAGAACCTGGGTGCTATCAGCATTTTCTCTCAAGGCTGGCACTGTACTACTTGTGGCACAGCGCCACTTCCAGCTTAATTGGAGATTAGAGTCTTTTAGACTTTTCTGCCCAGACTGGTTTGAAACCATGATCCTCAGATCTCAGTCTGCTGAGTAGCTAGGATTACAGGCATGAGTCACCAGCACCCAGCTTAACAGTTGTTGTTGCTTGATGATACAATACTCCCAATCTAACTCCTGTTTTGTACAATAGCATTTAAACATGACTAAATATTTTTAAATAAAATCTCAATCTGTTAGGATTAAAGAAAGAATTCAGTATTTCTACCAATTGTAACAAAGTAAAATTATAGCCAGACAATAAGCGATAGAAAAGTGAATATATTTTTACCATATTTAGATCTGGTCAGATTTTCAGGGCCAGGAACTATAAACTGCATTGACCGTGCATGATTTTGTGTCTGTTTCTTGAATCCCATCTGATGGTTCTCAAACATACTTCGAATATTTTCAAGCTTGAGTTGAACAGTCTGCATTTGAATCTGTTGGTAGCATAAGAATATTTTAGGTCAGACTATGGCACTCAATCAAAAAAGTTAATTTAGAGCTTAAAGCATAACAAGAAGAAAGTTTGGAAAGTAAGAGAAAGCAGATGGATGCACTCTTTTCACATGTAGGCATAGAAAAAAAAACCATCTCAATGAAAACGTGAAAATTAAAGCAGCAAGCAGTTATGAACTGGGTCACTGTGGGCTATGAGTTGCCCTTGTTGGCTGAGGGGAAAATGTCTGGAGAAATCACATTACTCTTTACTCGGTAGCATCAGAAATCCACTAAGAAAAAAAAAAAAGAAAGTCAGATACATAACATTGTCATAGTGCTTTGCTACATGTTAACCTGCAAGATATTTTCTTTATAGTTCTCCATGTTGTAACCAGTCACTCTTCAGACCCACCACGAATAATTTATCTTCCTGTTCCTCCTAGATGCTTTGAGGAAGTTACAGTAAAGCTTAGTTGCTGCCAGACAATCACATGATTATTGTCACTCTCATGTTCCTAGTTTTCTGGATCATTCCGTAGGATCTGTGTATTTACTGCTCCAATCTCATGATGACCTACACCTTTCTCCAGCGCACATAATTACAGATGCTCTTCGCTGTAATGGGAACCATTCCTGTGATCCCCAAGGGAGAAGTACTGGATTGCCTATAGTTCTCCACCCTGATCACATCAACTCCTTCCTCCTTTTCTTCCTTAAGAAGACTCAGATCCTTCTGCTATCCCTTCATCTACCAGGTAGACACCCACAGAGAATCTCCAAGTGGCCAGTATAGCACAAAGGAAAGATGTCTCAGGAGAAGTGCTCTAGCTTTGAGCCCAACATTATAGAAGAGCTTTGGGCCTTTCTCCAAGGATGTCCCAAAAAATATATGTGAGAGCTTAAAATGTGTCTAAAGACTTTGAAGAAAATAGAGTTGGAAGTCAAAAATGGAATTACTCTTCATTATACAGCAAGCAGAACCATGCACATCCTTCAGACTCTTTGGTGACTGACACAGACCCCATGATTATTCCTGATGTTGAAAGAGGATTGTGCACATGCAAGCTGCCACAAAGTCAGCCACGACACTGGAAATTATTATACTACTATAATTATGAGTGTCTATGTGTGTGTGTTGCACCTAGGGCTTGAACACAGGGCCTGGACACTGTCTCTGAGCATTTTTTCTTGAGTCACAGATCCACTTCTAGCTTTTTTGGTGCTTAATTGGAGATCAGAGTCTCTTGGACTTTCCTTCCCAGGCTGGCTTTGACCCACAATCCTCAGATCTCAGCCTCCTGAATAGGTGTGAGACAGTTGGTGCCTGACTAGAGTTTTAAAAAATTTGTTTCTTTGGAAAAAACTCAAACACCTCCTACCTTGAGTTCAGGAGATAAAAACACATCAAATTCATACTGTAGGCTTTCAGCATCATAATTGATAAAAGGCAAAGATGACTCAATGAAATTTTTTATATCATCAAGAGCTTTCTGAGCATCTTCTTTAGTCTGAAACCTCTCTGTTTCCTGATTAGCTAGAAGACATTCCCCTTCATCACAGCATTGCCGAGCCTGGTGAGAAACATCAAGAGAAAAGAATCACAAAGAGAAAACATGTTTGCCATTAAAAGAACAGTCATTAGCCCTCACTTCTGTCCATCGGTATGGCTGCCAGAGCTACTACAAACAAAAATTACCTGGGCTGTATAGCACCTGCAATACTACATGGAGACTGAACCTCGGGCAGAAAGGTTTATGGGCCCCCTTTTCAACCCACAGCTGGGTGCAGTGGTATGTCTTGTCATCCTATGTTATGTGAGATGCTGAAATTGGGAAGATCAAGGATCTAAGCCAGCTTGGACTGACAACATTGAAAAGACTATCTCTACAGAGAAAGCTGGACAAGTCACACACAAACAAGCATACAAACAAACACACATACACCTGTGATCTCAGCAGCAACAGGAAGACTAAAAGTAAGTAGATCATGGCCTAGGCGCAGATTCAAGACAAGAAGCAAGACTCTCTAAAACTCACCAGCAATAAACAAGGCTGGAGACATGGTTTGAGCAATAGAGTACTGGCCAAGCACATGCAAAGCCCTGAGTTCAAACCCTAGTATTACCAAAAATAGAAAAACAATGGGATCTCCCCTCTGCAATTCTGATTGAGTAGCTCTGGGCGGTAAGCCAGACATCAATACTTTTACAGGGCTCCACAGGTAGTGCTGATGCACAGCCAAGGTTGGGAAGTGATGCATTGATTTCATAGCAAGTAATTTAATCGGCAGCAGGGGTTCACCCATTTTCTAAACACTAACACTTTTAGTTGCATGTTATTTTCCTCACATCAATGACTGACATCTGGAAGTGCTACCAAAATACGAAGTGTAATATCAATGCTTAACGATGGCCAAGGACAAGAATAAAGATATTTTTAACAGAAAAGAAAAGGTTCGTATTAAAGTGTTTATCTCCAGATACGATGCTTATAAATGATGCTCCAACTTGCTATTCCATTGCCAGAAGCAGATCTGAGGAATAACCCTCCATTTCATTGCCTAATCGTCAAAGGAGTCAGACTCAGAAGCCATAGAGGAATATTTTGCAGTCACTGTTTAATTTTTGGTGCTGTGCTATGAAACAGAAAGGAATTCGAGGCTTTGGCAAAATACACGAGACTTTGAAAAATTATTATCTTTAATTAGCTGTACATTTCCATTCAACAAAGCAATTTATGAATACAATATATCTTGATCAATGTTACCCCTTTCAACATTCTCATCCATCCCCACACTAGACTTTTAAAAGTGTGCTAGGTGCAAACTATCACTAATAGAGGCTTCAGAGCTATAGTAAAAATAGAAAGTAAGCCATTATCGCCAAGAACATGATATTCACAAGAAATAATTGGGACTACAGTGAATCTTCCATGAATACTGCATAGTCTGATTGCCTGTAAAACCATCAGCCATGCACTAATGGTTGACACCATAATCTCAACTACTTGCGAGGCTAAGATCAGAAGATCACTGGTTGAGACTAGCAAAGGCAGAAAAGTTCAAGAGATTCCGTCTCCAAGGTAACCAGCCAATCAAGGCTAAAGGCATGACTCCAGTGGTAGAGCATCAGCATTAGCATTAGAAAGCTAAACAGATATAAGGCTCTGAATTCCAAGTATACCACCACCACAAAAAGAGAGAAAAACCATAATCAAGCTCAGACTATAAAACCTCTTACAAATTTAAACACAAAAGCTCTATCAGACCCCGACCCCATAAAGACTGAGAAGATAAAGTGTATGTTACAAAGCACCAGGGCAAGACATGTCATGCAAGATGGACCTGGGGAGGGCGGTGGTGGGAGGGGAAAGAGGGTGTTGTGTTTCAGAAATACACCATTCCCATCATACTACCTGTTGTAGGAGCTTGTGCATTTTTAGGGTCCTGGTGAGCTGTATTCGCTTCATTTTGATCTCATTAACCAAAACATCAGAGAGGTAACGAAGTTCACTGCACCTCTGGCAAATTAAATCAAGCGCGTAATGGTGATTTGCTGCAAGCTGGTGGCCATGTAATATTACACACCGGGCCTTTGTTACCAGTGCCTAAGATTAAGAAAGAAAGAAATTAAGGACTGCATAATCTCTTTATATAAATGAGAAAAAGGAAAGAATTAAGAAACAAATTGAGCAGGGCGGGAATATGTGGCCATAGAACTTAGCATCATATCTCTACAAGTTGCAAAAAAAAAAAAAAAAAAAGCTTACAGTGGCAATAATTAGCTACAGTAGTGATGATAGTCATCCATCAGAACCTAGCAACAAAAACAAAAATTAAACAACTCATCCCACTCAGAACGTAGATAAGGGGGCTGGGAAGGTGGCTCAGTGGTAGAGCGCTTGCCTTGCATCCATGCTGGGTTCAATTCCTCAGCACCACATAAGCAAAAAGAAAAAAGCCAGAAGTGGCGCTGTGGCTCAAGTGGTAGAGTGCTAGCCTTGAGCTGAAGAGCTGAGGGACAACACCTAGGCCCAGAGTTCAAGCCCCATGACCGGACCCCTCCCCCCAAAAAAAGAACATAGATAAGATTTGCTTTTTCTGGTCTATTTAGACTTACAACTGAAACACATATATCAAGTGAAGTGAACAGAAGCAAAAGGAAAGCTAATGTATTTCGTATTGCTCACCATTCACTTCAGAACATATCTGAACACATGAAAAGGGGCCCTAGCCCCTAGCCTTGTCTCCACTCGGAGAACTATTGACTCCCCCAGGGATATTGAGTGAAACATTTGCTTTGCATAACAAAGCAAAATAAAAGGCTAGAAGAGGTGGTTCATGCTTTTAGTGCTAGTTATTCAGGAGGCAGAGGTAGGAAGATCTTGGGTTGACACAGCCTGGGCAATGTTATGAGATGAACTAAAAGCAAAAGCTCTGGAGATAGAGTGTTTCCTAAGTAACTGTGAGGTCTTCAGTTCAGTCTCAACAGAAAATACAAAGCAAAGCAAGGTAAGGAAGTGAGCCATCTATCAGACTAATGGGAAAGCCAAGATTAAAATGCTACAGAGTATCAGGTGCCAGTGGCTCACACCTGTAATCCTAGCTACTCAGGAGGCTGAGACCTGAGGAAAGTTTCTGAGACTCTTATCTACAATTAACCACCAGAAAACCAGAAGTGGAGCTTAGCACTGGCCTTGAGCTGAAGAGCATACAGGCCCAGAGTGCAAGCCCCACAACTGACCAAAAAAAAAAAGCTACAGAGCTGCAGTTTCAGTTTCACAAGATGAAAATGTTCTAGATAGAAATCTACTGCATAGTATGAGCATATTAACCCTACTGAATTGAATACTTAACAATGATTAAGATGAGAGTTTTTACATCTTGTAAAAAAAATACATTAAAACATAAACAAAGCACCCTAGTTTGAAGCCAGTTTGCCTTATCCTATTATACCGTAGAGATTTGTAAGTGGCAGAAGAATCACAATGATCTACAAGCAAAATTCTAGAAATGTAAAATTTCATTACAATTGATGACTCTCAATGTGTGCTTTTACATGCTTAGGAATCACCCATGAATTGATTCGTTTGCTAAGAACATAGCCAGAACTAGGCTCATGCCTGTAATCCTAGCTACTCAGGAGCCTGAGAGATGAGGATCACGGTTCAAAGCCAGCCTGGGCAGAAAAGTCAGTGAGACTCTTATCTCCAGCTAACCACCAGAAAACCAGAAGTGGTGCTGTGGCTCAAGCGGTAGAGTGCTTGCCTTGAGCTGAAGAGTGCAGGGATAGCGCCCAAGCCCAGAGTTCAAGACCCAGGACCGACAAAAAAAAAAAAAAAGAACAAAGAACAAAGCCAGAAAAACACTGCCTGGCTCTGACATATGAAAAAGGTGAGCAAAGTTAGTCTATTCTGCATTAAAGGCACCAGTCCACGCTTCAAGATAAGAAAGGATTAGACTGTATACTCAGGTACTGGGCTAAGTGCTACACATAACTCAAAATAAAATTTTAACATGATAATACTGTTCAAAATAAGCATTATAGTCCCAATTTATAGATAACAGCACTGAAGCTTAGAACTTAAGTTACTAAAGTTACACAGCTAGCAAGACCAATCAGGTTTACATGTGTGAGTCTGTCTGGTTTAACAGTGCATCATACAGTGAGCAATTAAGAAAAATTAAGGTACTTGTACATTATAATCATTTTAGACTGCACATATCATTCATTTTCATTTTCATTGAATTAATATCCCTTTGTAATGTGAGGAGGTTTCATTGTGATTTTCCATACATGTACACAGTATCCTCTTCACCACAACCCCATTGTTCCTCCCTCTGCCCACTACTGGTCATTCACATACATATATGTGCATTACATGCATACATACATACACACATACACACATGTTACATCCCAAGTGTCGTTCTGTATATGTGTATGTGCGCGCGCATGCGTGTGTGCATGCGCGCACATGCACACACACTGGTAGTGGGGCTTAAACTCAGGGCCTGGGTGCTGTCACGTAGTTTTACCACTCAAGACTGGCACTTTACCACTTGAACCACAGCTCCAATTTCAGCCTTTTGCTAGTTAATTGGAGATAAGAGTCGCACAGACTTTTGTGCGCTGGCTGGCTTCATACTACGATCCTCAGATCTCAGCCTCCTAAGGAGTTAGGATTATAGGTGTGACAGAACTATACCTGAGCCAAGTATTATTGATAATTTCCTAGCATCTCAAAAATTATTTATGCTATTGTCCCTACAGGTGGGCTTAAAAGTCCCCACCAGCCAGGTGCCGGTGGTTCATGCCTGTAATCCTAGCTACTCAGGAGGCTGAGATCTGAGGATCTTGGTTGAAAGCCAGCCCAGGCAGGAAAAGTCTGTGAGACTCTTATCTCCAATAAACCACTAGAAAACTGGAAGTGGCGCTGTGGCTCAAGCGGTAGAGTGCTTGCCTTGAGCTGAAGAGCTGAGGGACAGTGCCCAAGCCCAGAGTTCAAGCCCCACAACCAACCAAAAAAAAAAAGTCCTCACCATTATCTTAGAGACTAAACAGCATATCTGCGATATTAACCTGAGGCCACACTAAATGAAACAGAATTTACATGAATATCATTATTCCACTCATGCAGAAGTGTTGAGAAATTAAGCATAGTAAGGGTTTCTACTACTCAATTCACTGAAAATATTACTCTCCACAAACACCATGGACATCAAAACTGTACTCTTACCTGAGAGTTTTCCTCCAAGTTTTCCAGTCTTTTAATTTTATGCTTTACTTGAATTATATTCCCTGATATGTCAAGCAGCTCTGATTGTTGTTTCAATAAATCTTCAATATCAACTACAATCTAAAAACAAGAAGCAGAGGTTTTAAAAACATATATCTTAAGCTGAGTGCCGGTGGCTCATGCCTGTATTCCTAGCTAGTCAGGAGGCTGAGATATGAGGATCGTGGTTCAAAGCCAGCCCAGGCAGGAAAGCCCATGAGACTCTGATCTCCAATAAACCACCAGAAAACTCGAAGTGGCGCTGTGGCTCAACTTGTAGAGTGCTAGCCTTGAGCTGAAGAGCTCAGGGACAGCACCCAGGCCCAGAGTTCAAGACCCATGACTGGCAAATATATATATTGTCTTACTTTTTCCTGTAATAATAATCAAGTTTTTTGGTTTTTTTTGTACACTTTGTTTTACTTTGTTTTTTTGTGCCAGTCCTGAGACTAGAACTCAGGGCCTGGGTGCTGTCTCTGAACTTTTTACGTATGCCTGGCACTTCACCACTGGAGCTACAGCTCTACTTCCAGCTGTCTGCTGTTAAATTGGAGAGAGGAGTCTTACAAAGCCCAGACTGGCTTCAAACCATGATCCTCATATCTCAGCCCTCTGAATCGCTAGGATTACAGATGTAAGCTACCAGCACCCAGAGAGTGATCGAGTTATACAGGAAATGATATGAAACAAGCATGTCCATGTGATTGCACTTATGGAAAATATGTTTAGCCATTTTATTCATCAAAATTATAATCTGCTCAAATCTTCTATGTTGAGCAAAATACCCAACACATTTAATCATAGATATTTGAGAGACTGACACTGGAAAGACCGTGGCATAAGACCAGCCCAAGCAAAAAAGTTCATGAGACCCTATCTAAGTCAATAAAAAGCTAAGTGCAGTGGCATACAGCTGTGATTCCAGCTATGCACTAAGCATAAATATGAGGATCACAGTCCAAGCTGATGTGAGCATAAAGACAAGTCTAGCAATTCATATACAAGTAGATGCATAATTGGCATGTGGCAGAGAGTGCAATTTTGTGGGTACTGGGTTGGAGTGGGAGGACAGACAAAAATACTAGAAGGAGCAAACTGTAACTTTAACCATTTCATTAAGGAAGGTCTTGTAAAGAATGTGGCATTTCTTGGATGGAACTAGAACAAATCATGTTTAGTTAGGTAAGCCAAGATCACAGAGCAAAGGGCATATGTTCTCTCTGTTATGTGGAAGTTAGATCTAAATAATGCAATGAAATATGACAAATTATACCAGATTCTAGACACTCACATACACTGAGACCAAAAGAGGAGAGAATCCAAATGGCACAATGCCAAAGCACCTCTTCATATTTATATAAAATAATATACATGCCGAAACATGTATTTGGAAACAAGTCTTTTCTTCATTTTTAGGTTTTAGCTTTTGATGATTCTGTCCTTGTTACCTCATGCATGGCGTACTTACGTGTATATCTTTGGGAGGATGGGGGGAGGACATAGAGCTTGAGGGAAAAAGGTGGAAAAGTGCAGCAGTGGAGCTCACTGGACACTGATGAAAGTGAACTATACAACTCGTGGGTGGAGATGGGAGGGAGGGACTGAGAGGGAGTAACGGAACAGAAGACACTGTACTAAAGGAAATGTACTCATTATCTGACTCATGTAATTGTAACCTCTCGGTACATCACCTCTATAATAACAATAAAGTAAATGTAAAAAAAAGAATATGGCATTTCTAAAGCTCCTTGAATCAAAGGAAGAAAAAGATGAGTAGTGACTAAGGTCTGTATTCACAATGTACATTTGTAAACTTAATTAGCAGCAAAATAGCTCACAAACAAGAGAAAAGAAAAATGAGTTTCCACGTGGACAGCACACATGGGACCACAGCACGCATGGCAGGTAGATGTCCAAAGATCCACCCAGAACTAAGTTCATCTTCCAAATAATGTATAATTAAATGTGATCTAGTTACTTTTGTCAGAAACAAACTCCTGGAGCAGAAAAAAAAAACCATATTTGAGCTGGTCACCAGTGGCTTATACCTGTGATGCTGCCTATTCAAGAAACTAAGACCTGGAAGATGGAAGCTCAAAGACTCACCCCAGGCACTCTCTCCAATTAACCAGAAAAAGGTTTGACTGGAGGTATGGATCAAGTGGTAAAGTGCCAGCCATGAACAAGAAAGCCAAGAGAGAGTGTGTGGTCCTTAAGTTCAAACCTTAGTACTGGTATACATTAAAAAAAGACATTATTAGATCATATGTTGTTAGTATTTTAAAAAAACAAGAAGGATGTAAATATTATTTCTTGGCAAAGCTATTGCATAGCTTGAAATCACTTTATATTTAAAATAATAAACCTCAAGACAAAGATAATATTTGAACTGACCGTTTGAAAATCTTGTTCGAATCTCCATAGTTGCAGATACTGCTCCAATTTCAATTGGTGTTTTTCCCAAAATCCATCAAAAGCAGTTTCCATATCATGCACTTGAGTCAGCAATCTTAAACAAAGAAAAGTTTAAAAAAAAAAAATCTGTAAAAACAGCCATCTCTTTAGCAGGCATGCAGGTAAACTAAGACACTAAGAATTGCAGGCAAAGTCGCAGAGGGTGCAACACTGGTTCCACTGGAAGAAAGATCTCCAATTTCCAGAGGTTCACAAATACTTCTAACACAGAGCAGGCTGCAGGAAAAACCTGAAATTTATATTTTGCCTAATAAAAATGTTACACTACTTTATTGGCATACATTAATAATACAAGGTGATTTCATTGTGATAATTCCATAGATGTGTACAGTGTATTTTGAACAAACTCACCTCCCTCACATCTACTATTACATTCGCTAACTCCCCTTCTATTTCATGTCTCTTTCAATTTTTTACACAATGTTTGCTGGGTTTTGTTATTGTATATTTGTATAGCCATCTGTCTGTCTGTCTGTCTGTCTGTCTCTCTCTCTCTCTCTCTCTCTATATATATATATATATATATTTATATTTATATCTTACTTCAATCCTCTTCAGTCATTAGTTCCCTCTGTTCTCTCCCTCTCCCTCCTACTGATTCCATTAAGTCCCTCTGAGACTTATTTCCCCATAAACATCATCAACTTAGGTCTACATTTTATATTCCAGCAAAAATATTGGAATATCATTCAGTCCTAAAGAATGAAATTATGTCATATGTAGGGAAATATACACACCTGAAGATCATCACATTGAGCAAGATAAGCCAAGGTTACCAAGCCAAATATACATATACATATTCATATTCATATTGGAGGAGGGAAATATACATGAAGCAACTCCAAGAAGGTACTACTTACTTGTTGACAGTTTGCCAGTCACCACAAATGGGATGTCGATGCTCAAGACTTGAACTGATAGCTCCTTCAGTGGCGGGTAATTGGAGATTTGTTAGCAGAATTTGTCCTTCTTTGGTTACAGTCATAATTTCATTCTGTCCAAAGGCACAACAGAATGCATTAGCCAGTTAGTCACATACCTTGAACCACCAGAGACAAAAGGAATACATACTTATGGCACACACAATAGAAATGAAGTCCCACAGCTATGAGGATCCATGATGTCTTTGCCTTACAGATAGATATTGCAATCACATTTCATAAACTACCTACAGCCAGAGGTTCCACATGCTGTTTCTAGCCTCCTCTCACTGATGGCAAGTTCCATTCTATTCTGCTAATAGCTTTACTGTGCTGAAACAAAGCAGTATGAATCAAATAAAGATGACCTTAGTAGCATACCTAACATGTAATGCATGCTCAGAAATAATTTCTGGCCCATCTTTACTAATCCTTAAATGTTACCAAATACTGTCTGCCTTATGTGATAACTTCACATTGGGTTTAATTCACTTCAGGTGTATATACCTCTGCATCAGACCTGATGTTTAGAGACTGGTCTAAGTACATGACCTTCTTCACGCATCTTACAATGGTCTAATATTTTCTTCAGGAGCTCCAAGGATCCTCTAAAATGGCAAGCAAAAAATTGGCAGGAGTGGCTGGCAGTCTGTAGCTGAGTAGTAGAATGTGTGAGGCCCTGAGTTTAATCCCTACTACCAAAAACCAAAAGAGCTAATATTGATAAAGCACCAGCTATGTGCTAACAACCATTGTATGTGCATTGTATACTTTATCTCATGTTATCTCTGCAACAACTGAATACCAGGAATGACTGTATACTACATCATCATCATCATCAATCATGCTCTGCATTGTACACAGAAGGGGAGATAAGCAAAGCTCAGAGGAAGGGAAACCACTTGCCTGACATCTCTTCTCTGTGAGCAATCAGAGATTGCTGTTGCTGTTGTTTTCTTATGTTTTGCTTTGTTTTTCCTGGACAGAATTTTACTTTCAGATTGTGATTCAAATCATTACAATGTCTCTCTTTGTTAGCTAAGACGTATCACTCTACCGAGAAGGAAAACCTGTCAGTGTACCCAGCATCATCCTCCCATGAAGAACATGAGTGGTACTTGGATGCTCGGTACTTTTTTTCTTAAGTCTGAGACTGGGACCCAAACTCAGTACCTGATGCATTTGCTCATTAGTTAGTGCTCTACTCTAACTGATCCACACCTCCAACCTCAAATGCTGGGTACTTTATCAGATTGCTCTTAAACTTTCTGAGGAAAGTGACTATAAAAGCACTTGCTCATTGTCAACATTGTGTTTCCACATCCTTCCAAACCCAGCAATCCAGACAGTATTGAATAGGAGAACAAAATCAATTTTTCATTCCTGTATATGCTAGGAAACATCAAGCAGCATTATTGTGTAGGGGGAAAAAAAGAGAGCTTACCAACATCTCCGGCTATAAAATAAATGCAAATCAAAACAACATTGAGATTCCACCTCACCCCACTTAGAAGGGCTATTATCAAGAAATCTAACAACAAATGCTACAGAGGATGTGGCCAAAAGGGAATGCTACTACACTGTTGGTGGGAATACAAACTTGTTCAGCCACTCTGGAAAGCAGTGTGGAGATTCCTCAAAAGACTAAACATAGAACTCCCCTATGACCCAGAAATCCTACTTCTAGGCATTAACCCGAATGATCACAAACAAGACCACACTAAACCTACCAGCACAACTATGTTTCTTGCAGCATTATTTGCCATAGCTAAGATATGGAACCAACCCAGATGCCCCTCAGTAGATGAATGGGTCAAAAAATGTGGTATATATACACAATGGAATTCTATGCTTCCATCAGAAAGAATGACGTTGCTCCATTCATAAGGAAATAGAAAGACTTGGAAAAAATTATATTAAGTGAAGTAAGCCAGGCCCAAAGAAAAGTAGGTTGCATGATCTCCCTCATTTGTAAGAACTAGAATATGGCTAGGATATTCTTAACAGGGGATCACAATAACCCAACTGCTTAGTGCATAGGATCATATGTAATGAAGCTCATCAACATGAATTCCAATATATGGAAACAAGAGGTTCTTATTAGACCCTGTATGTAGTTTGTTCTTTTATTTTTCATTTCTCTTAGTTTTTTGTACCTCATGCTTTTCATATAAGATAATGCAATATGTGGAAAGGAAGGGGAATCACAGAAACAGCAGGACAAAGGATGAACCAAAGCAACATTGATACTTACTTAACACTGTGTTGGATAGGAACTTTACAACTTGGCAGGGAGGGGAGTAAGGAGGGGTATGCAGGAGATAATGAGGGATGGGATAACAATGATTAAAAACAAATGTACTCATTGCCTTACTTATGTAACTGTGACTCCCCTACTCATCACCTTTTCAATTAAATAAAGAGAGCTTACCAAAATGAACACCAAGATAGGGATGCAAGTGGTTTACCTTTCTTGCTGTTGTTTTTTAATGTATTTATAATGCAACATGTGATTTTTTTTGTTTCTGTTGTATGTTCTTCCCCCATGGTATAACCCCTGTTTTCACTGTATTTGATCCCTGTGTCCTACATCTTGTGTATACATTTTTCTAATTTGGGGCGGGGAAAGGAAATAACAAAATTTTTGTTGCTGAAATAAGGATAAAGGTTGACCCATTGTAACAATGAGAGGTACAAGACATTATGTTGAAAATGAACTTTACAACTTCAGGGGGGGTGGAGGGAGGAGTTGGGGAGGTGGGGAGGGAGGGGATGGTTGGGGAAAAACAAAGGAGAGGGTAACAATACTCGAGAGGAAATGTGCTCATTACCTTACTCATGTAACTGTAACCCCTCTGTACAGTATTTTTACAATAAAAAATACATACAAAAAAAGAGATCAACTGAGATCAACTGAGCAATGCTAGCCTGGATTCCAACACTAGTCCATGGTAGAGACAAAATAAACCAGGCATCCTGACTCTGCTTTAAGTGTTCTTTCGCCCATTTCATACTGTATCAAACAGATTACCTATCCAACTTTCACCCTTGCCTTCCAAAGGAAAGAGCATTTCATGGGAGAATACATGACTTAAAAAATAACTATAAATTGTTTTTCTGAGATACTGTATATTCAGAAATAAACAGCTTGTCAATGCATCATTTACAAGGCAGCCTCAGATTTAACAAATACAGGACATTCTTCTCTTGTAACATATTGTTTTTGAAATATAATACATAAATATCTTTTACAGGTAACAATTGGTGTGAAATGGACACATACCTTCAACAGGCGGTACCTTTCCGTACGGATTGCCAGAATTTCTTCTATGGAAGGAATGTCATCTGGTAGCTCAGTCTCAGCCAGTTCAGTTCCAAAGGACTGTAATACCTGAGCCATTTCTTTCACTGTGAGGGCAAAATTTTCTATAGCCTGCAAAAAGCCAGTGAATCTTGCATGAAACCTGTACCCAAAACACCAACACCTAGATTTTAGGCCAGGTGCCAGTGGCTCACACCTGTAATCCTAGCTATTCAGGAGGCTGAGATCTGAAGATCAAGGTTCAAAGGTAGTCCAGGTAGGAAAGTCAGAGACTCTTATCTCCAATTAACCACCACAAAACCAGAAGTGACACTGTGGCTCAAAGTGGTAGAGCACTAGCCTTGAGCAATAGGAGCTCAGGGAGAGCAGAGTTCAAACCCCAGGACTGGCACACACACACACACACACACACACACACACACACACACACACACACACACAGAACTACATTTGACACTGTACTGATTTGTATGCAGGTATCACAGAAAAGATATGTGGTATGAATTCTCTGCTACCAAAATTCGGTGTTACCTTTGGCAATCAACTCTAACTCTGTGCCTAAACCTCTAAGAAACTAAAAACAACGTTAAAGGTCTTCTTCCATGTCTTTTCTTTTTTCTAAATTTCTGGACTTAAATTCTCATGAGAATTATTTCTTAAAGATGTCATGTACTACTGGGTGCCAGTAGCTCATGCCTGTAATTCTATCTACTAAGATCTGAAGATTGAGGTTCAAAGCCAGCCTAGGCAGGAAAATCTATGCGGCTCTAATCTCCCATTAACCACCAAAAAGCTGGAAATAGAGCTGTGATTCAAAGTGATAGAACTCCATCCTTGAGCAAAAAGGCCCTAAATTCAAACCCAGCACCAGCAAACACACAGATATATACACACAGACACACACACACACACACACAAGTTGTCGTGTACAGATTTATTTATGCCCTTGGAGACTAGTGTTTTCCTTGTGTTTATCAAACTCTAACTGGCAAAATTGCTGGATAGTAAGTCTGCTTCTAAAGACAGGTGAGAACAACGAAGCCACTTGATGTTTACTGTCACTGATGAAAAGCCTTACTATTCTAAACAAGATGATAGTCTAAGGAAATAAGTCACAAGCTATCCCAACAACTCATCGCAAGTACTGACAACATCTGACACTTCATTGCAGAGACTCTTCGCCCTGAAATGGCAAGTGAGGCTATTACTTTATATCCAATATCAACTACTGAACAGAAAGATGAGGGAAATGCGGAAACTTTATCAACTTTACCACTCTCCGTAAGGTGTCTGCTCTTTTCATTAGGACTGCTTGGTTATTAAAGGCTGAATTTTGAAAATGTTGACAAGACACTTTTTTATGAATGAATAAACTGTTACATGAATGATTAAATAAACTGCTGAATGAGGACTAGGTGTGAGGGAAATGCAGCCATGACGTCATGATTAATGAAGCATCATTATTTCCTTTAGAAAAGTTGCCATACCTCTGGGATTGGAAGTCAAGATATAGACTTCAATCCGGGAAGCACAAGGTGCTTACCTCTTGGTAAATTTGGAAATCTAATTAACTAAGATGATGAAACTGATTGCATCCATTGCATTTATAGGGAATTTACCATTGGTTAGGTACTGAATCAAACAGGTTAGGTTTGTTTCTCCTTTAGCCTTCCTAAAATCCATAGCCAATAAGATATTATCAGTCCCATTTTATACTTGGGAAAATTGCCCAAGGTCATAGAGCTAAAATCAGCAGTACCAGGATTTGAATCCAAACCCTTTATTTCTTTAAATTACTATGAGGACACCGGAGGGGCTGGAAAAGAATAAAGCTCCTTATATCCCTACACCTCTCCTCCAACTGCCATCCTCAGGGACTCTTCATCATTTCTAGATATTTCCTATGGAAGAAAATCGAAATATTGAATTATATTTGTACCTGAAAAGTAGGAGACCCCCAAATCAGGTTTTTCCCAAAGAGGAAAGAAAAACTTCAAGAAGTAGACTTAAAGGCTAGCAATGACCTATAGACTCTACAGTAAGGGCAAAAGCAACATACATTTCTGAAGACGATCCATTCACTGTGGCAGTACTGCAAGGTGCCGCCTAACTCGGGGGTTAACTGCTTGTCATCAATGTATGTCAGCAAACCACTAACTGAGCTCAGCATAACAACCTATATAAATAAGCAAGAAAGACACTATTAACTGGCCTGCACGTTATGCCCTCCGTTAAACTGTAAAATGAACTTTAGCAGACAGCAGAACATTATCTTCTAGATGTGGCTCTAATAGGTCTTTCCTGTCTCCATGCCCACATGTGTATGTATTACCTTCTGTAGGTAATAACTAAATATTAAGCATTTCTCTGTAAAGCAAAATTAATCTCCACAGAAACAAAATTCTCCTTTGTCTAAAACTTTTTATGGCCAATGGCCACGCTTTGGGGAAAAAAATGTTCACAACAAATGACTTTATGCAGTGCATTATAATTTGTCAGGAGGCGTGAACTGTCCAATGCTACCCACATTTGTGAGCAATGTACTCCTGACAATAAAAACATAAAAATAACTTTTCAAAATAAAGAATGTGGTACACGGAACAAGCTCAGGATGGGAGTTCAAAAACAAAACATTCACTCAGTGTTTACGAAAAATAAATCTTACTCATTATACCCACACAGAAAGATATATACACGTACAGAACACAGAACATACACTTTTCTAAAGGAATTGTTTTGTTATACATTGCCCTGTATGAAAGTTACAAGCAGCAGGCTTGAGGGCATTTCCAATTGACATTTTTGTGAGACATATTTTAGGCTTTTTAAATGCTCTATAGGCACATGTAAAATATTAACAGCATGGTACAAAGTGTTCACATGAATTTACAGGACAACACTGAGTCAATAGCTTACTGGTAATTTGAGCATGAAATCTTCCTGACTGAATCGAAATCCAATGTCTGTAAAGGTGCGCTGAAGAAAACTTGTAGGACGTAAAACCAGAACCAAGTGCAAGTTCCCAGGGAAAGAAGCCTGTGAAAGAAAGAACAGAAGAAATAAAGAAAACTTGACACAATGAGTTCTCAACTGGGCACAATGCAGAAAATATGTAATTGAAGAGAACAAGCTTGAAAGTCATAAAAGTCAATGACCAAACATTTAAAAATTAGACCTTGATACAATGTAAAAACATGGAAATAGAAACACCTATGTAAGGTTATCAGGTCAAATCATTGCTAAGTAAACTCCTATTTATAAAGAGTTAGACTCAGGGGCTGGGAAGGTGGCTCAGTGGTAGAGCGTTTTACCTTGCATGCATGAGGCCCTGGGTTCAATTCCCCAGCACCACATAAGAAAAAAATAAAAAATAAAGAGTTAGATTCTAAAACATCATTTTGAAATTTAGTTTTGATTTGAATTTTACTTTTGATTTTTTAATTGACATGAAATCATGCTTATTTATGGTGTACAATATTATTATTTGAAACATGTATACTATATGTAATGAACAAATAGTGGTAAATTAGCATTTCTATCTCCTGAAATATTTCTAAATATTAAGAATCTTCATCCTCTTTAATTCCAAGTGATTTGCAATTTGTGATGATTTACATTATAGGAAGTCAAAATTGCCCTACTGTGTTATAGAACATTACAACTACTTCTCTAGTTGAATTTTGGTACCAGTTATCTAGTCTCTCTGGCTCCTTCTCCCTTCCCCTTCCCAGAAACCAGTGATCTCTATTATTCCACTTTCTACTTCTATGCAATCAACTTTTCTAGTGTCCAACAAAGAAAACACGCACTCATTGGTCTTTGTGTTGTTATTGTTTTTGTCCTGGTCCTCGGGTTTATACTCTGAGCCTTGGTGCTGTTCTTGAGCATTTTTTGATCAAACTTAGTGCTCTACCACTTCAGCCAAGCTCCACTTCTGGCTTTCTGGTGGTTAATTGGAGATAAGAGTCTCATGAGCTTTTCTGGCTCTGTATAACATCTTTTAAGAACTCTCTTTCAGATCATTTCTCTATTTTTAACAGGCTGCTTTTCTTTTGAGTTGTTCATCTATGTGGGATATTAGCTCTTTGTCTGATAAATACTTCGCAAGTATTTCCTGCATTCTATAGGTTGTCTCTTTGTTCTATTTACACTTTCCTATATGTGTAGAAGCTTTTTTATCCAATTTTTTTAATTTTAATATTTTTATTGTAAAGATACTGTACAGAGAGGTTACAGTTACTTGAGTAAGGTAATGAGTACATTTCCTCTCCAGCATTGTTACCTGCTTCTTTGTTTTTCCCCAACCTTCCCCTCCCTACCCACCTCCCCAACTCTTCCCTCCCCCACTCCCCAGGTTGTAAAGTTTGTTTTTAACATAGTGTCTTGTACATCTCATTGTTACAATGGGTCAACCTGTATCCTTATTCCAGCATTTTGTTATTTCCCTTCCCCTCCCCAAATTAGAAAAATGTATATACAAGATGCAGGGTACCAGAATCAAATACAGTGAAAACAGGGGTTATACCATGGGGGAAGAACATACAAAAGAAACAAATCACATAGTACGTTATAAGTACATTAAAACCAACAGCAACAAAACCCTCTTGTGTCCCTATCTTGGGGTTCATTTCCCTTAACACCATCTTATATGGTTATACGTACATAGCTTTTGACCATTTCTACTTGTCTGGTAAGATTATCTTAGATGTATAATAGTTATTGCAAATAAAGGAGACCATGGGACCTATGATTCTTTGGGGCTGGCTTACTTCGCTTAATATAATTTTTTCCAAGTCTTTCCATTTCCTAACAAATGGGGCAATGTCATTCTTTCTGATGGAGGCATAGAATTCCATTGTGTATATAGACCACATTTTCTTGATCCATTCATCTACTGAGGGGCATCTGGGTTGATTCCATATCTTAGCTATGGAGAACAATGCTGCGATAAGCACAGTTGTGCTGGTAACTTTAGTATAGCCTTATTTGTGATCGTTTGGGTGAATTTCCAAAAGTGGGATTGATGGGTCATAGGGGAGCTCTATGTGTAGTCTTTTGAGGAAGAAGCTTTTTAGTTCATTGTAATCTCAGTTGCTTACTTTTATTTGTTGATTAGTGGGGTTTTTTTGGCTTATGCTTTTGCCTAGACCACTTTATGTAACTGTTTCCCTTATGTTTTGTGTGTGTGTGTGTGTGAAAATACCATACAGAGGGGTTACAATTACATGAGCAAGGTAATGAGTACATTTCTTATCAAGCATTGTTGCCCCTTCCTTTATTTCCCCTTCCCATCTCCCATTCTCCCCACCCCCGCCCCAACCAAAGTTGTAAAGTTCGGTTTTGACATAACGATTTGTACATCTCATTGTTCCCTTATGTTTTCCTCTAGTAGTTTCATGGTTTTGGGTTTTACATTTTGGTTCTTGATGCAATGAATTACTTTTTATATAATAAGTGGCAGGAGTCTAGTTTCATTCTGCATGTGTATACTTACTTTCCCTACCACCATGTATTGAAGACTATCTTTTATTCTTTTTGGGGGGCCGTGGGGACTGAACTCTGGGCACTGTCCCTCAGCTCCTCAGCTCAAAGCTAGTGCTCTACCACTTGAGCCACAGCGCCACTTCCGGCTTTATTTTTTGCTTATGTGGTGCTGAGGAATCGAACCCAGGGCCTCATGCATGCAAGGCAAGCGCTCTACCACTGAGCCACCTTCCCAGCCCTATCCTTTATTCATTGTATGTGTTTTCATATTTTTGTGGAAAATTCAACAAAGCATCATGTTCTAAATGCCTACTCTATGCTAACTAATTTTGACTGTTTGCATTTTCATGGATGATGAAATCTATTCCATGAACTCCATCCACCCATTTCTAACCATCTTCCTAAAATACTGGTTTCCGCCCTCCCCTTGAACCCCTTGTGCCTCTAGAGTAATAAACACTGGCTGTGCTTGTTGAAAAGGAGGGTCTAGTTTACCCTATGCTGAACAAGCTTAACCAAATAAACTACAAATCTCAAAAATCATCACCCACCCAATTTTAGGAAAGAGGTAGACCATTGTCTCCAGTGGCAATTCTGCAATTTCTATCCTGCCACAACCTCCAAAAATTTCTGGACGTATAAGTAGTGAAATCATGATTGGTTTGCATCTACAACTATGTGCTAAACCACTGAAAATCCTCCTATATTTTTTATTAACATATTATTTGTACAAATAGAAGGGCCTCCTTTTGATTGTTTCTGTATATTCAGCAGCCTGTTCATATTGACTGCTGTTAGTCCACTTCTTAAAGAGGCCCCAGTATAGAAAGCTATGAAAATGATACTGTGGAACAGACAGAGATAATGGAGAAATATGCTGGAGAGAAAGGCAAGGCACCATGTAGCTCTTCACCCTGAAATGCAGATGTTTGGGCAAGTCTGAAAAAATATTGTTGGGAAAAAAATATTGTTGGGGGCTGGGAAGGTGGCTCAGTGGTAGA